TGTTAGCATTTCATTATTCCACCACACATAAAAACGTATCGGGATGAAGAACGGCTCTTTTTTCCTATTATGTTCCGCCGCGTTTCCCTGACGCGGACACGCGTCCCTGTGGTTTCCCGATCGACGGGGGTGCAGATTGCTTCCTTCTGGTGTTGCAACATCCAGCATTGCGTGTAACGAGTCAACAAATGTCCTCGATCTGGAATTGAAAGTATCTTTTCAGTGTCAGCTTGTTACTACGTGAATGTGATCTTGCAACATCCCCTAGAGCCTCGAAGGTGAACTTTCATAGAAGAGGAAAAGCAGAGATGGCAGTGACCAAGTAAAATCGATACATTTTTCTTAGAACTATACTTGTGAACGATCACCAAAGTGTTAAATATATATAACTGCGTTTCGGCTGAACTTAAACCTTGGGGAATAATGATAAATTTGTTGTGAGTTCTCTGGATCTGAACGTGGACATATAAACGTCACCCATACTTCATGGACTCGATTCGAATTCGGTTTTCGGGGGTCCTAACTTGACTCGTTCGGGCGAGTTAGCGCGGAGCGCGAGCTAAATAGTAACGGGACGAGGGATCCGATCAGCAAAACGCAGAGACCAGCTTAAACCCTCGAACTCATTAATGGGGGCTGCAACAGTCGACGCGAGCCGCTCGGCCGGCTTTATACTTGAGGTTTAATTCGCGCTGGTCAAATTAATTTGCAAACGATGAACAAGTCGCAGCCGGTGCGCTGTTAGCGTTGCATTTCGAACGGGAATGGTCGAGGTAGGGGAGAGGGGAGTGGGGATTAGCGGCGTTCATTAAACACGAATGCAGTACATCCGCTAGCCAGATTTGGCCGCGGTATATCGCATCGACATCATCGTCGCCGAGTGCTGTCGAGTTTTCGTACTTTCGTGCCTCCAACTGCTATCTCTATATATCTCTATTTCTGCATGTGTCTGTGTGTGCGTAATCAATCTCGAAATTGACTACAGTTGCAACTACGGGATACCGAATTTTAGGCGGATCAGCCTCGCGTGCGCTTACGTTGAAAACATCCTGGGGACAACTCGACGAATCTTTCTGTAATCAAATATTGTTTAACTTATAATTTCAAGAAGTGTAACGTGGTGCGGATAATAAATACAAATTTTTCGATTATTTTTTTTCACTCAGGGGCTGTAGCTACGATTATAGCTACAGTACGGGTTTAGCAACCCCGAGGTACCCGAGCTATGGGTGACTATTGGCATCCCTAATGGGGATAATATGACCACAACTATAAACTTTTCAAGTAGATTCAATCCTTATTGAAAGTAACGATTCCAGTTCCTCGTGAGTCTACCCAAAAGCACGGTTGAGATAGTTGCTATTCAATTGGCAAAAGCGTTGGATCGAGAGGCGAGGGTGGTAGAGATCGGAGTGTATCGACTCTGTGAGAGGTCATCGAGTCGGTTTCGAGTTAGATTTCGAGGCACAAGGAATGCCTGATGAAATTTCAAGTGCGAAACATCGAAACGTAGCTCTTTTTATTTTGAGTTTTCAGGGTGAATTCGTTCGGTGCAACGAACAAACTATATACATTTTTTGTTGACAGATTCTCCCAGCCGTACGCGTTTCGGAATGTAATTCGATTCCTCCCGTTATCGAATTACAACCATCGTCTGAATTTCCTGTTTGGGTGATATGTTTAACAATACGCGGGCGCATTGTACGTACCAGTACCGCGGATACGGTCGCAATTATAATGAGGATCATCATCGCCGGTGTTATCGACTGCAAATATACGTTCGGGCAATTCGTGTAATCCACATTCGTGCAATTAATTATGGTTCTCCGATACGTTGTAACATCCATCAATGCTTTCTCGATAGCCTCGTGTTTCGTTTGGATTCAACCACTGTGCTTCGATCCTAATGTTCGATCCCATTGTCGAGAACTCCTACGATACGCTCGATATCTAAAGATTCCATTTCAGAGTCGACTTTGACAGGGTTACTTCCTCTAAGATTAAATCGTCTTGCAAAGCAAGTTGGATAGTTCTTCTCCTTTCGAAAAACCAAAACCCCACGACGTTTGAGGGTGGCGATCGATCACGATCGACGACAGACGAGAATCGACGGTCGATAGGGGTCTTTTGAAAGTGGCGGCTGCAGTCGATGTTCCTGGACAAAAAAGCCGGCTGCTACGGGCGCTAATTTCGGGGCGCGTGCCGCGAGGCTTTTTCAGCGACGCGATACAATGAAAAGCGCGTGTAACGCCACGCGTCTAGAAAGTCGAGAGTGTTCGCACCTTGGGCCTCGTTAATTGCGTGTACTCCAACTGAATCTGCTGTTAACACTGTTGCATCGTTTTTATCCCTTTTACGAGAGGCGTTCCACTCTCTTATCTTGGCATCTTCATTAATGAATTTCCAGGCTTTTACATGTAGGGCAAGAAACGCGTTAAGGCGCGAGGGAAATTAATTGTTCATGTTTGGAATGAAATGAAGTGTTGTATCGTGTTTTGCATTTCTTGTGTAAATCAAGCAATTGTGTTGGCTATAACATGAATTATCGAAAAGGTGTGGAGGTGTAGCTTAATGAAACTATGATAAAGCTTGCACCCCTTATCCTTCCATGGGGAAAGGTAGCGTGAAACTTTCCACACCAGAAGCAAAGACGCTCCCGCGCGAATGTGCCCTGAGAGCAAAAGGGGGTGGCAAGCGTCGCCGTTATAGCGTTATAGCGTTTCAGCGGCGTGTGGCGATAATATAAAGACAAATGAAGCGAGGCGCGAGCTGCGTCGGTCGGCCATGTGTCTTTATACAGACAGCGTCCCATGCCACCGTGGAAGCGTATTCGCAGGAAATTTTCTGTCGCAGGAAAACCCCGCCGCGCAGAACGTCCCGACTGACAAAATTTCACAGCCAGCGAATTTTATTAGCCACGCAGCGGGTTATTTATTCGAAACAGCGACAGATTATATGGCGATATTAGCGGTTCCTAAGGTCGGGAGGGTGGCTCGCATAAAACAAAGTCCCTAGCACGACTTTTATATCTTTCACCCGTGACTCTTTGGAGAATTAATTGAATTCGAATATCCTGATATGCATTCAAACCGCGTGATGAAATTTCTGAATGTAGGTACCAATAGACTCATGTATTGCAACTGTCCTGTCCCACAAATGACTCCTGAATCCTTAAATTAAAACTTTCCCTATCCTCGCGTGATAATATGTGAAACTTTCGATTATTCATCATCCGATCACGCTCTGTTTGACCAAGGCCTTTCGACTCGAAGAGCCCATAGAACAAGTCGACACAAGGCACCTTCGATTCGAACTTCTGTCGCTTCCTCGTGGTGTCACGTAGGCAAACGACGCTTCCAACACATGGCTGCTCTTTTTCCACGAGGACACGGCGGTTGTTCTTCCTTCCTTTGCATACCCTTCGCTTCTTTCGCGCACTGTCTTTCGCTATCTCGGTGTACAGGAGGCAATAACATTTTTACGAGCCACGAAACATTTATTGCCGGCTCTCTGCCGGCGCGCGGCGTTTTATCATCGCCGTTCCTCTGCTTAATACTACCCGCTTAAGGACGCTGCTCGCAGCTTCTGTATATTCCTCGCGGTTGTATATCTTCCGATTAGACCCGGGAACAACGACGACGACCCTGCCAGCGCGCCGACGAGTTCATCAATTCGCTGTTTTTGAAAACAACTCCCCACCGAATGATTAATCGGCTCGTCCTGCGAGCTAATGAAACACGTTTGCGTTTCTTTGCGCGGTTATTGGCTGTCTGTGCGGCGAACCGAGTGACTGGTTGCGTTTCTAATGGCTGTTTCTTCGAGGAAATAACGGCAGAGGTGGTCGAGCTGAGAATCGGCCGTGAAAATTCACACCGAGGCAATCGTATCTGTTCGACGAGCTCGTGATAAATGTGACTCGCTTTTCTTTCTTCTTTTCTTGGGATTTTTTAAGCTATATACTTATGCAGGTCTGGAGTATGTATTTATTATTCGTTTGGGCTACTATTCCAGACTTTATTTCGTAAGACGAACCTCCACAGATTCGTTGAAAACCAAATTTAATTCGCGGTGCATATAAATAAAAAATTATCCCTCTGCTCGTCAGGTTGCGAACAAAACGGTAAATGCTCGTGAAACTTTCCTCGGCGAGTAGATTTTCCTGGAAGCTGGATGCGCCCTCGGCAGAGATTTCCAGGTCGTCTCGCGAAGCCATGATGAAAATGACGTCGGACGGTACAAGGGCGTCCGTTTAATAAGGATCGGAAGTTCCCCTTAGTGCGGATCCGTGTTTGTTAACGGGGAACTTTCGAACGCGTGAAAGATGGAAGAGGAGGAATTAATACTTTTTTTTCCCCTTGTTTCGGTCGCAACGAAGCACCGAGAGCCAAGGATACCTGTAGGTAACCGGGAACGGGGCGCAAAATAAACTTTTCCGCCGCGTACATAAAGTAATACCCGATCCAGGAGGTTGGTTGCTTCCTTTCAGCCGCGGGGGTCGGATTGGATGGTGGCTCCCAAGGGGTTAATTTCGTGCCGAAGGGCGGAAAATATTCACCGTTCCTTAAAATCCGACGAGCAGCCTCGTCTCTTACGAGCTTCCTCTGGGGTGGCGTTATGCCAAACGGTCACTCAAAATACCACACCCCCTTTTTTCCGACTCGCCCGTGGCAACGATCCTTTAATCCGCGCCAAACTGTCCGGGGATATTTCCTCCAGGCTGAAAAGTCGACGAATAAAACTCACTCTCAAGACGTTTCACCTTTTCAGTCTTAACGAACGACCACTGTTTTTCAACGTTTATCCAAGTCTCTCGCGTAACGAACTTCGATGATTGCTCGATCGTTTTTGACCTGATCTGTGATAAATGGAGTGGCGTCTAACAATGCCTAAGAAATAGAAAAGAATGTAAAATATGTCCGACCATTCTTTTACCAAGCGCAAACATTAATTTTAGCGACCAATTACTTTTCGTGCTGATCATTACTTTGTTTGCGTTACAGTCCATCAGGTGCACCATCACCGGATGCTCCTGCGATTCTTTCACGCCGGGGAAACGACACATCCGGTACTGCGACAAGTGTCACCATGGTTGGGTGCCCCACGGTGAGTACCTCAAGTTTTCCACCATTTATTTAATCAATACAATGAAACGAAGACTACAATCTTCGATATTTCCGAGTAATCCTTCTTTGAATTAGACGTACAACGATCTACAAGTGCTTGTAGTAAGTAATACAAAAGTATACAAATCTAAGACCGTGAAATTTACTCGTGAATTCCCAAACTTAAGAATACACCCCCAATTTAAGGATTCATCTTGGAGACGACCGAAATAGGTTGTCGAAGATTTTCCAGCGGTTGGGGGTTCAGGGTCGCGTGCACACGGTAAAACGCGAATTTTCCAACTGTCAGCATACTTCATCCGAGCGGCCCTCGGGGACGAAATTCAATTTTCCGACGATGACCAGTGGCCGTCCCTTCGCGGCCACCGCTTCACCCTTCTCTGTGGCGGCGCACGCGATCCGTTCCTAGCATAACGCCTATGTATGCATACGTATCGGCCGATATATATATATATATATATATATATAAAGAGAGAGAGAAGGGCGAGCTTTATGCCCTCGTAAGTTTCAGGATGTATAGAAGAAGCGATTGGTCCGTGTTCGTCGCTGTCCGCTACACTTGGAGCACAATGTTCGCGAATATACAGGGTGGAGCAGCTGGAATCTTGACCATTTATCCTCCCTGAAATGTTCCACACCAAATTGACCCTCGATGAGCCAGAAAACAAGTACTACTCACTTGTATCGAATGGAAGTATCCTACGATTCTCATGCAAGTCTGTAGCTTGTAAATCTGTGTGAGATCGTTTATAATAGAAAACTTATTTAGAAACGTCAAGTATCGTAGATCGTGGTCGTGGAGATGAGCCATGTAACTCAAAACCTAACGGGACACCCTGTACGTTACTGGTACAAAACACCCTCTTGGAGATCTGGATGTACGTTGGTGTGTATCGCGCTTAAAATTCCGGCTGCTTGACCCGCGATAGATTGGACGTGCCGCGGCGCGGAATACATATCAATTCTAGTCCCACGGGGACGCAGTTGCATTTTCCTCCGAGGTAGCCTCTTCTTCTTACCCTCCCCGTGTTCCAGAAAAGAAAGACAGGTCGCGAGAGAGCAGCTTCTCTGCCTCTTGTTTCGAAAACAAAGAAAGTAAAAAGACGTCATTATTTCCAAAGGAATCTGAAGCATTCTTTCTGTCTTCTTGAGCATACTTTTTAGTTTAAACAAATTTTCGCCTTTTTAACCCTCGAAGAAGTCATTATTCCTTGGTTGCTTGCACGTTTATCGATTAATTAATAAATAATACCAACTCCAAACAGATGAATCTTCTCGTTTACTAGAACAGTAGCGCTTATTCTCCTCGTTCGTCGTTCTAATCATCCCAATGGCCCGCTTTCGATGCGACGCCGACGTCGAGGCAGATCGTCCCTGTGCCATTCATCAAGATCGCTGGTACAAAAGACTATCGCAGCAATCGGCCGGGAATCTCGAAAACGCCAACGGAGTCATTTCCCTTTCGACATGGCCCATCGGATGTCTGGAATTAGAAATCCCGAATGGTCGAGGATTCGTCGCTGCTCCTTTTGTTCGCAACACGGACCGGTTCCGTTTCGTACGGCAAAAAACCATCGACGTCCTCGATCCTCCAGCGATCAGGACAATTTGTCGTTTCGGGACGAAACAATCGCAACGAAAGGAGATATCGGTTCCTCCGACAAGCTAACACGAGGCAGAAAGATCGCTCGGAGTATCGGAGCATACACGGTGCACGATTCAATCCTCGTCCTCGGCGCAAATCGTGATTCCTTCGAGCGACGTCGCTGATAAAACTATCGTTGGTGAGGAGGATGCTGGGTGCTGCATTAGAAACTGAGAAGTTGAATCGTGCTTACGAGTTAGGTTGGACTAGTGTTTATGTTCATCAACTAGTGTTAATTTTCGAGAAATTGCATCGTTTGAAAATATTCATCCGCTTTAAATTTGTACTCCATACGTTTTATGTTAAAAGAGAATTAGAAGTGCATGGGTAAAATTGACTGGCTTGGTAGTTGTTAGCCCTAAAGAGGAGAAGGTATGTAGACGAGTGAGATTGTCGACGTTCATCGTGAACTGGTAAATTAAGGAGTTCGGTTGTCGTTCGTGGAAGGACGAGGTCCTCGAAGGGTCCTCGAGGAGCGCTCGTTTCGCTGTCCCGAAGGTGACAGGCCCCTGACGCGCGAGCAAGTCGTGAGCTCGTAAGGAATCACGGTCAGAGTGTACACTCTGACAAAGGCCTTTTTAAATTGTAATGAGCTGCCAAAGAATGAATTATGTGCCGTCCAAGTGCCATCGAGTCCTCGGCCCGAAACCCCATCGTATAAAACTCCGTGTGTACGCGTATACATATATCTGACATCCCCGTGCCGCGAGCAGCCACCCCACGTCATGAATATATTTACATTGATCGTCCGTCTCGGCATTTTTCATTTGCCCCGTCGTTGTGTCAGCTCGAACCCTCTCCTCTATCCACCCTCCCTCCCCCGATACTTTATTTATATCGATGGGACGTGTCTGTCTTCTCGAGAGGGCCGCTTCAATACAGTTTTCATCGGACACCCGTGCGCCAACGAACCCCGTTGACCGCTAATGATCCTTTCGTCCTTCGTTCGAGTCTACCGCGGAAGTCCCTCGAGCATCCTGATACCATTCCGTTATGGTTAAAGTTTCATTCGGGTTCGACGCGTCGAATCGTCTTGCGAAAGCAACGATGGATGTCTGTCTTTGCGTCTAGAGGAAAGTTTGGAGAGAATCGAAGCGCAATGCATCGTACTCCAAATTTTCGACCCTTCTCTCCCACTAAAATTCATTGAAAATTAGAAAAGAAGTTCCCAAACATCATAAATCTGATCTGAGGAATCAGGAAGAGAAAGATTGCGATGGAGGACGTATCGATGCACGCGATGGATCGATAAGGGTTCGTGGACGCGCCCAATGGCCGGACAGACGGTGAAAAACAGTTAATTGGTGGCGGTGGATCGCGAATGAACGACGCAGATGACTGGTTTCCAGGCACGTAAAGTATTGGAAGGCGAACTTCGTGAAATTTTCCCTGGCCGGCTACGGCGAAATTGCTCGGCTCTCTGTATTACCAGGAAGAGCAACGGAATTCAAAGTATGCGTATCCGCTCGTTAAAGGTTAAACGGGAGCAGAAAGAAATTCTGCCGTGCGCCCCGACGGTTAATCGTCCCGCTTCGGCTCCAACTATTTATTAGATGCACGTACGTTCTGACTGAATTTTATTCTTTCAGCGCGTGCCTCGCGTGCTAGGCGCAAAGGATGCGTCCGAGGGGCGCTTTTCCCATGGCGAGGCTGCGTTTACAACGCAACAATCGTTTTCTTGGGACAAAATGGCCTTAAAGATGAGACCACAAGCCCAGTCATCATCCGCTACAATACAATCCACGTTACCTTCCCTGTTATTTCTTATAAGTGACTGCTTCACGGTCTTTACGTCCACTCCTCCAAAAGAGATATACTCCCTTTGCCAGAAATGGTCCGTTATTAAAACGACATTACCAAAATTCAGACACGTCGATCAAAGGTGCTCTTGCCTTGGGTACGGAAAGGAAAGCAGCTAGGCGTCCCGAGCGGTGACAGGGTTGAAACGCAACATCTGCGTTTCCATCTGCAGCGTCGATTCGACAGCAGCTGGAAGACAGAGGAAGGGCGGCCGCGGGCTAGCCGAAGGAAGACGCCACGGCGAACTCTGGCCCTGCGAAAGGGATTTACGCGTCTCGGGCGCGTGCACGATAAATCATCGGAATAGGCGTCGCCGGGAGTGACACGGCTGTGCTGGTTAATAAATGCACCGGCAAACCGTGAATTACATCGGATCAGGGGTTGCTCTCACCCCCTGTCGCGCCCTTTGTTTCGCCCTGCGGTCTCGCACGCTAATATCGAGACGTCGAATCTTCGTCTCGCGCGTTTACACGAGAAACCAGAATAAATTTACCTGTAATTGCCGGCCGAGAGGGACACAAATCGTTTTTTGGAGAATCACGGGGCTTGTGTGATTTGTGCACCGGAAACGATTACTGGCAATTCGGTGCTTTCGGCTGCGATAGTTTCTAGGGAAATCATTATGGAAATCAGACAAAGACGAACGAGGTAGATCATACTTTTGGAATATTTAAATATTTGGATTGTCCTTGCGAAAAATATAATGTTTACTGACGCGTGTTCTAGATAGAGATTTAACGGTGGATTCTACTTTGTTGGCTCAGAAAGTAACCGTTTTTTTTTTAAGTATCAAGACCAAACTTTCGATACTCTCAATTCTTTGAAAATTCCCACGGATCCCATTCGATTCTCGCTCGTAACGATTTCAATTTTGTACCATCCATCCGCTATCTCCGTTTTCGAGCGAAAGGAAGTCCCTCCTATAATCACCTTTCTCCCTATTGTCTCCCAGAGAAACAATGGCTCGGCCAGATGGCCAACGAAAGTACAAGTCACCGACGACAACGTTCCGTGAAAGTTTCCCGGGGGTGCATTACGCCCCATTAAGGCCTGGGGACGACGTCGCGGCTTTTAAGGTCTAAAACGCGCCTCTATTTGTTCTAATATGAAACCAATGTTAATGACGATATATCATTTCCCTTCCCGATTCACCAGCTCGGAGAACGTCACCATGAATCACAGCAGAGATGCTAATGTACCAATTTATCTTGGCTCAGCTTTATTAAGACTTAGTTTTTCTCCGCGCGAAGGGAACGCAGCTTTCACGCCACCTTCCTCTCTCTCTCTCTCCTACGCTTTCGATTCTTCTCTCCCTCGATTTTGATTCGTGGGCACACGTACACGAGCGCGTACAAAGGAAGATCGATATCGAGAGGTCGAAGGAACACCTATGGGCATCCACGGACAGGGTCTGACAAATTCCAGCGACGGAATACACGCTCGTAAATCACCGTCCGGTTTGCTGCTCGCGCGAAGACGTCCCTTCTCGATCTCTTTGAGTCTCCTGGCCCGGTCGATTATTTCTTCTTTCGGTC